GGCTCCAAAAAGCAGGCTATAGGGTGCCCAAATAGGAATAAAAGCATCAAAATTCATTATGTGATTTTATAAATGACAGCAAATACACTGTTCCTCCTAGAATCCAGCAGCTAAAAGAGTTATTAAAGTAATTTAAGGGGAATGGATGTAAAGAAAATAATGACACTTAAATACTAGTTGCAACTAATACAATCTTGTTTGATGTTAAGTCTTTTTTTCCCAGGTACTTTTTTGGCTAGCTGCACTCATCTGGAGTTTTTAACATGATCAATTTGTCACAAGCACTAGCAGAGAGAAAAGGCAGAGAAAGTAACAGGGAAAGATAAGCTGAAATGCCTTTAAAATTCTTCTCTTCGAGAGTGATACACATATATTGTATTAAAAGTGACATGCTCCTCAGCCTCTGCCATTTTACCTCAAACAAGTCAGTCACATTTTGAAGACAGGCTGAAACTTTACTGACCACATATGAATCCTCATTCAATTTCTTAGCATTGCAGGATCAAAACCATTCCTCTTTCTGCATCATCCTCCAGAGTTCACTGTAGTACCATATATAGTGTCAACAGCTCTGCAAAATTCAGTTTGTTTCTGTGCCACCTGTCCACCCTTTCACAGGTCACCCTGAGGTATGTGAAAGGTTTACATGCCCATAATTTCTCACGGTACCTGGGTGAGCTTGGGGCTTTACCAGTAAAGATTCCGGCATCAGACTCGGAATTTCTTTGTAGCTCAACATCTCAAGTCTTACATGTTGGGTGGTTTGTATTCCCCCTTTTCCTCAAAAAGCCCTTTGCTAGCAAAATTCCCACCTACTCCACTTGGCTGAATTCTGCACTCCCTCACCTCCCTACAGAAAATCAGGAATAACCTCAGACAAACTAGTGAGGTGATCCATACTAGGATAACCACATTGGTCTGCAGGGACTTACAGCTGATCTACAGTGGTGTAAAAGGAGTACGTCTTTTGGGGGGGGGCGTGGTCTTTATCCCAAAAACAGTTGGTTCAGTGACCCACAGGTGCAGCCCGTGGAGCGACAGCAGTGATGATAGGATCTGTACTGGAGTCAGACTGGTGGCCCTCCTTGGCGGACCTAGAGGAGACCTGACGGGAGAAAGCGGGGATAGGACGGTCAGAGAGCCGGCCGGCAGGGCAGGGCAGGGCAGGGCAGGGCAGGCTGGAGCGAGCCGAGCCGAACCCTCGCGCCAGGGCCGCTCATTGTGCCGCTATTATGACGTAGGCGCCGCCGCCGTTCTGTTGCTATAGGAACCCCGGGCTAACAATCCCCCCCGCGCCCCGCCGATCGCGAGCCCCGTGCTCCGGCGCAGGGGGGCAGGCACCTGCCCCGGCTCCGAGGTAAGCCCTGCGCCCCGCAGCCTCTGGCAGGGAGCCCCCCCACCCCCCAACAGCAGACTAAGCACAGGCGCCCTGCTTGGACCAGCTGGGAGGCTGGTGGCTGGACAAAAAGATGCCCAAGGAGCATCTGGAGGGATTGGGCTGCTGCCTGGGGCGAAGCGAGGGGCTGGTTGCTGCCCCCCATGGGGGATCCATAGGGAGCTTCTTCCTGGCATCTTCCAGGCTGCCTGCTAGGATGACTACATTCTCGCCCACCCATGCCAAGTGCCCAGGGCCGGACATAGGCATGGGCGAACCAGGTGGCCACCCAGGTCCCAGAAGGAAGTGGAGGTGGGTCCAAAAATGATAATTTTGCCCAGGGCCTGGACAGAAAGGGGTCCCAAAAATGGTAATTTTTAAAATTATTATCATTATCTCTAGCATAGGGCAGCTTGATACTAAAAGTTTGCCCGGGGCCACCAGGAGCCTAGGTACGGTGCTGTGCCAAGGGAGGTCAGGGGGACTTGCTGTGGATTGGAGCTACAGCTCAGCTCTGGGCATCCCCAGCGGGGACAGCCTCTTAGAAGGGCAGGATAAAGCAGGAGGCAACAAGCGGTCATGTTGTCCCAAGTGTATTAGCCAGAGAATCATAGAAATGAAGGGCTGGAAGGGACCTCAAAAGATCAAGTCTAAACACCCCACCCCCTTGCTTTGGGCAGGAGTACTGCTGAGATCAAATGATCCCAGCAAGAAGTGCCATAGAAATGCAGTGTTGTTGGTTGTAGCCAGGTTGGTCTAAGGGTATAGTTTCTTCCAGGAAATGAAATATCTTTTATTAGACCAACAAAATATTTTATTAGACCAACTAGATAGTTGGTCTAATAAAAGATATCTCATTTACCCAAAGAACCTTGTCTGCCATAGAAATGTGGAGGTTCTTTCACTAAGTCCCCTTGTTTCGCATGACCTGTGTGGGAGGAGCCTCTTGCTTGCAGGCATAAGCTTCGACGTGTGCGTAAGCCAGCGCTTGGCATGACGTGGCCCCACAGTCAGTTACCACATGAGGGTAAAGGGTGTAATAGCCAACCTACCTAGGTCAGGCAAGCAACAAAGACTTGGGGTAAGGGATAGCCTGGACTCGTTTCAGGAGCTACCTTAGGAGTTGGCTGAGGACCCCAGGGCACCTGACTGAGGCTGAATGGAATGGAGCATGACCCCTCTAATGCACAAGGACAGATCTCTGGGGACTACAAAGCCAAGTGTGATGCATACAGAGCATTGGTGATGGACACATGGAAAGTTTTATGTATTATGGGTGACAGCCCCCTTCCTGAGGGGGACCAGGGCCCTTGACAGCTCTGGTACAGAGACAAGTGTGATGCTGGATCCTAGCAGACTATAGCTCTTAGAAAGGGGGGCTGGGGTGAATGAGGGAAGCTGCTGAGAAGAAAGGAGGTAAATGGGAGAGGGTGGAAGGCTGCACATGGCTGTTTAGGACCCAGTTCTTGGGCTGGGATCTAGATGAGTGAGCAGATGTGGGTTTCCCTACTGCCTGCCAGTAGAAGCAATTCCAGAGGTGGCTTTGGGTACTGTACAGTGAGCAGTAAAACCTGTTAAAGAATCAGCTGGAGAGCTGGTGTTGATGCCAGACTACTAAGTGAGAAATGGTGTGTCTGGTGGGGTGGAAGAGGAAACTGAGGCAGGCTTGCCTCCCATCCTTCCCCATCCCACTCATTAAAACTGAGCTTGGGTGCACTTTGCTGATTTGAGGTCTATTTGTTTCTTTGTTAACCTTACCTTTTTTAAAAAACAAACAAGCACACCCTTTTTATAGCTGGGAAGGAGCATGTACATGTGAATGGTATTGCCATAGCTCAGCTTTTCTCCATGGCACCCAAGCTCAGTTTTAAGGTGGGGGTGGGGGGAAAGGGAGAGGAGGATGGGAAGCAAGCCTGCTTCGGTTTCCTCTTCCACCCACCCTAAACAGACGGATGCAGCTTTCCACCCTCCCCTGCTTACTTCCCTTCTTCTCGGCAACTCCCCTCATTCACTCCAGGCCCCCTTTCTCATAACTCACTGCTAGCTCCAGGCAGTAGAAGCCTAGGCCAGTTCTCTGGCACACCTCTTTATAGTAGCAACAGCATATCTCCTTCCCCAGCCAGCCCTCATCTGCTAAGCTTTTTTCCAGTTAAGCCCAAGTATAGCAGGAAGGTCTTAATTGAAGAAGACTGGCAAGCCCCAGCTTCCTTGTAGTTAAAGGGGAAGGTCACCCCTGCACAGATACTGTCCTGCTTCACAAAAGTTAGATATGCACACTGGGGACAAGGGAATGCACATATTTTAAGATCAATTCCTCAGCCTTCAGGCCTCCTAAGCACCTGCTCTGCTACACAGAGCTCAGGATTGGGCCTTGACCTCCTCCTTTTGAAAGCTGTCATGAGCTGACTCTTGTACCAATTCAGAAGCACGCTGACTTCAGTCAAAATCAACCTCGATTGAGCTCAAACAAAACTGGAGACTTAGTGATTCTAAATAGAAACAGATTAGTGTGTGTCACTCTATACTATATGTTTCATGTCAAGCATAATCCTTTATAGGAAAGTATGAAATCATTAAAGGCTTAGAAAGGAAAATATCTGTGCTTTAACTATAGCACTGCAGTATGTTGATTATTCACTAAACTGGAATAAATTTTCATGAGGCTTTTATTGTATAGCTCCCATTAAACATTAGTCAATGGGAATCATGCAGCTGAAATCCCATGAATTACTAGTGTAAAGCAGTAAACACAGTGAGGTATTGTTAGCATATTAAGTTATTTTATGTCAGAATGTATTGCTTATGCTTATCTATGCACCATTGTGTAAGCAGATTAAGCTTGAAAACTGCTATAATATCTTTTAAAATAATTCTAAAATGCCTGCCAAGTTTGTTTACCAGGTTGGTGAATAGTTAAAAGAACATGTCAAGTTGTTAAAAGAAAAAACAAGTGTCAGTGATTGCACCTATCTCTAAGCTTCTCTATCAATTTTTGCAGTTTTACAAAGACATTTTCTATTTTTGAAAACATATTTTGTTTTCTTTCCCTTGTTGCTATGGAAGAGATGCACATAAACAATGGGAAACTGGCTATAGAGAGTGGAACTGCTTTTCTGCAAAGTGCTGTTTTATTGGCAAAGTAAACAGAAAAAAAAGAGAAAAGATATTTTCCATTCTTTCATTATAAGGGCCCAACCCTATGAAGGCTTAATCAAAGCCTGTGGGACTGCTTGTTCAAGAAAAGTTAAGCATGTTCATTAGTTAGTATTGTGTTTTCTGTATTACAGTAGTAGGAAACCATATTCAAGCAGCAATGCGATAAAAAAAAAAGATTTACTGTTGCCATGAGAAATGGTGGCAGAGATTTTCAAAGATGGAAGGGGCGGTTAAATACTCATCTTCCATATGTCAGTGAATGAGTCTGATGCCTAATTCATATTGTGTCTTTTAAAAATTTCCCCTGTATCTAGGTAACCCTCATCTGGTTGGCAAATTCCGTGAGATAATAGGAACTGGTTTAAAAGGAGTGTCATAATACTAGGCATACTGGAGAAATAATTAGGTGGAATTAAGTGAAATAGTTCAAATGAGTTTTCTATTCTCAGATGAATCCATTCCAAAATCATGATACAGTCTGGAACAACCAACTGGTATCTCCCTTTGTGTTTATCAAGACAGGCATGAAATTGTTACCAACCATTACAAGCCAGGATATAAGCTTATGGTCATAGGTATGTGCAGTCTTACCCAGGCTGTCCCTGGCTTAAAATTTTAGTAACAGTCCTTTCTCTCCCAACAAAGAATAATAGATTACAGGTAAAACAAATTAAAATGATGTAACAGACACTGGCTGCCTGTGCTTAGGGAGGCACGGGGGCGTTTAGAGCGGTTCCCAGAGAGCTGTTCTAATTAAAACACCTCACTGGCAGCGTCTACTGTGTAGTAGCTTTGGGGGCACTAACCCTGATGCGACACTAATGCGCAGGAGTAATGAGCACAATAGCTCATTGCTACTGCACAACAGCATCAGGAAAAAAACTGTACAGTAATGCCAGTTACAGCGCAGTCATTTAGTACTTTGTTATGCAAGTACCAGATGACTGAGCACTGACAACTGCAGTCTGCCACTCATATAGACATGGCCACTGTCATGTATATTAAGCTCCCACAGGATACTTCATCTAAATCTCATTTGATGAGGTTTAGATAAAACACCCCAGTGGCCATTTTTAAATTCCCCATGGGCTTATACACATGACAATGAGGCCACACTGGAGTGTTATAATTAGAATGAGAACCAGCACGTATATAGGCACCCAGAGTTCTTAGTATTTACCTAATGCAGACTAGTAAGATGTTGAAAAATATTGTAATGAAAGAAGCTGTAATCTGGAGGACCCCTGTCTAATTTGTTGCTGAAGTTGGACAGTGTGTAATGAGTGAGAGCCAGGGCCGGATTAATGCATAGGAAAACTAGACACATGCCTAGGGCCCTAAGCTGCAAGGGGCCCAATCTCTCCCTCTGTGGCAGCGGCATGAATAACCCTGTCCACCTTCCTTCCTTCCCTTCCCTTCCCTTCCCTTCCCCTCCACTGTCCTCACCACCACGGTGGCTGCTTTCTAGTGGTGTCTCCGAGCCCTGCTCCCTGCAGATGGCAGTGCTGGGGTGGGGTGGGGGGGGGTCTTGACTGACCCGGAGCCCATGACTTTGTTTGTCTAGGGCCCACTAAAGGGTTAAGCCAGCCCTGGTGAAAGCCAGAGCTGTAAGACACAAAGGAGGGTCTTTTGGTTAAGGAAGCTGACTGCTGCCATGGAGAAATAGATTCTATCCTGTATCTGCCAAAGAGTTTCCAGGTGATGCTGAGCAAGTCTTGTAAGCCAAACCCTTCACAAGTGGCTGCTGATTACATGTTCCTCATTTTCCAGGAGCCAAAAGTAAAACAGTTCAGCTGTGAGCTGAAGAATCGCAGAGCATTCACTATTGTGATTGAAGTTGGTGAGAGCTTTGCTTTGGACTAATAAGGTACTGTAGAATCTTAAATATCTGAAAGTCCAAATTCTTGGCGTCTCAAAGTAGACACCAAAAACTATTGGGCAGGTGTTACCTTAACGCTTCTTTCAGCTCCTCCTATGTAAAACAAAGATAAAACAAACACCTTATTTTCTGGATGTGTGTTGAAAAGCACCATTGTGCATGAAGCACTCTGTACTAAGCAATGAGTTCTACAAAAAAAAGCCCAGGCTAAACTTAACCATTCTGAATTGAGAATAAGGCTTGAATAGTAAGCAGTAACTAAAACCTGAGAACCAAGCAATCAATAAACAGGTGAAATAAGATATAGAATGGTAGCTTATTTGGTGTTATGGGGTTTTAATGCTGCATGTGTATGTAAATAAATAATAATATAAATAGTATTCCCATACAGTGTGTAAGTACATATAAAATAAAATCTAATGGTAATATATTTTGAATTAGACAATACACCATAAGACAAAATCAAACCCAGATATAGTGAACATCACCCCAGCTCTGTAGATGTACCATATTCCAAATATTAATCATTCTAAATTGCAACACAGATCCTTCATGGACATATATGAGGGAGAAGGACAGGAAGACAATGCAAACATTGCTCCTAACTCCATTCCTGACAAGTACTCCATCAAATCCAGACTTGCAGAAAATTTTTTAAAGATACTTGGGAAAGCCTCAAGTATAATAAACTGTCAGATCTTCAGATGGTATAAACCAGTGGGACCCAACCTTTCTGGCAGTCATGTCACAACGTAAGCCCCACACTTTCACTTAGTGCCACTCAAATCTCCTTCCCTTTCCTGCCCTTCTATGCTTTTTTTCTGCTTCCTTGCCCTGTGCTCCCTGTCCCATCTGCTCTTCTGTTTTCTGCTCCCTGTACTAGCTGCAGCTGTTCTCCCTGCTCCCTCTCTGACCTGCCACATGCAACACATATAGGCACCTGTGCCATGGTTTGGCCATGCCTGGTGTAAATTAATCCCTTCACAGAAGTGAAGAATAATGTGGCCCATATTGTGTGTTCTAAAAGTAAAAACAGATGTCACCAAATGAAGTGGATCAGCTGGGGCAGGACACATTTCACCACAGCTGATCACCTTTATTGGGTGAAACATACATTGCCTGTTGTCCTGCATCAAGTCTCACGCATCCTGGCATGGAGATGCAGGGTGCCAGGGATTCCTCAGGTCCCATGCCTCCACTCTGGGACCTTTCCCCACTTATGAAAATGTTCCCCTGGAGATCCCAGGGCAGGCCTCCATAGACAGGGAACCCCGACTTTGCCCTCTTACCAAGATGGCTTGAGATTCCCCAGAGCATGTCTTGTAAGGAAGGAAAGCCAGTCAGGTGCTCCTGGGGCTTGAGGGACCCAAGATGCTGTGGGAATTCCTGGGGTGCATGGGATTGGACCCCTCCAGCCTCCAGATTATTTGTCCAGGGTATGACAAATGACTGGAGAGTATGGGCAGCTCCGGGCTGCTTGCACTCTCCTACCACAGAGTGAATAGATGCCTGCCTCAATGAAGTGTAAAATAGGGCCACTTTATCGAGGCAGACAAAGTGGCCCTATTTTACACTTCTTTTTGTTGACCGCTGATGTGGTGGGACAAAAGGTAGGGACGTCATTGCTCATTATTTGTGCTGCCATAAAAATGCTTATGGCATCAGAAATGCAATCTCAGGCGATAGCTATTTTTACCCTGAGTCAGCAACTCCTAGTCTTTGATAAAACAACGGATTTTTACACTTTATAGAAGTGGTTCCTAAACTGGGGTGTGACCTCAAATGGGGTCACAACATCAGAGGATGGGGTCACGGCACGGTGCTTTTTTGTGCCAGGTCCTGCCTGCTGGGCTGCAGAGGCCCGGGGGAAGGGCAGCAGGGTGGGGAGCCCCAAGCCCACAGCAGCAGCCTGCATCCTCCCCCCCGTGGGCTCTGCTCTGGCCGTGCCACCTATGGGGGAGGGAATTGGGGGGCAAGGGAGGAGGATGTAGGCTCCCCATCCTGCTGCCATGCTGCGCTCTGGCCTTAGCAGCTGCTGCTTCCTGTGGGTGGCAGCCAGGGCTCAGGCACTGCTGGGGTGGTGGAGAAGAGGGCTGAGGGCCCTAACCTTGGGGCACTTGGGGAGAGTGGGGGGCTGCAGATTGGGAGTGAGGGGCACCGGCAGGGCCAGGGGGCTGCGAGTTGGGAGTGAAGGGCCATGCTGAGGAAATGGGGTCATAAATGGGGTCACACTGACAAAAATTTTGGGAAGCACTGCTTTATAGCAAGGGCAAGGAGCTTCCTACATTCTTTGTGTCACTGATTCTCTCCTTGGATAAACTCTTTCCTGACCACCAGGTAGAAAGGAAATCTTGAAGACTGATGAGTGAAAGTGTGTCCATGCTGCACATTTCAGTGCAGCCCAATGTGAACTAAACTAGTTCTAAACAAGCTGATGTGGGTACCACACCTAGTCAAGCCATTGTAGCAAGGAGCTCCACATGGGCTACTGAGAAGCTCATGTGGAGCTCTATGCTACTGGTGCAAGACTGCTTCTAAGCTAGCTCATTTAGAGCTAATTGTGTCTATTTACCCTGGATGGTAGTATTTGGTATGGGCATACCCCTACATCCAGACTGTGGAGGAAGTTAGCTTATGTTGGAGTGGTGCAACATGCTGTCTTCTCACTGACCTGTCCATTAAGCTGGCCAGGAGGGATATGGGCTGGAGTCATTCCTAATGGTGGAATGTTTTATGCCCTGGATCCAGGGGTGTTCAGTCCCTGGCTCTTGGTCCAAATCCAGCCCTCAGAGCCACAGCATCTGCCACACACGATCCCCAGTCTGGGAAATTTGGTGGCAGGGGAGTGGTGGCAATTAATATTGCCACCCCTCCCCCCTGCCAAATAACCAAGCTACATGTGGATGGATCCATGTCCCACCGTGTTGCTGCACAGCTGGATCAGACCCAGGCCTGTCCCTCGTGTGGCTGGAACGGGGCCATGTCACCCCCCACAGCCCCCAGCACCCAGATTAAGTTTACCAGCCAGACCCAGCCCACAGACGCATCTGAGTGAAAGACACACCTGGGCATCTCCCACCTGGCTCACAGGGCAAAAAGGTTGAGCACCACTGCCCTAGATGCACTGACAAGGAGCAGAAAGTGTGATTACAGCTGACCCTAGCTCAAAGTTGGGGGCACACAAGGATCACCTGTACATCAGTATGAGGCCAGACAAAATCCTGCCCCACAAGAAGGCTACTTTAAGCTTCCTAGGGCAGGTAATATTTTTTGGTTATGTGTTTACACAGTATTTCCTGCAGTGGGGTGTGATTCCTTATTAAGGGCCTCAACTTTCTACCACAGCACCAATTATAAAGGGGAAGGAAGGGTCCCTCACCAAAAAAAGTAAGGAAGATTTTTTAAGTGAACTAATCCTTTTCTAATGCAGCAAAACAATAGGAAGCAGGGAACACAGTCCCAGGAAAAGCATTCATGCTCCAAACACTTAAGCCCAGGCTTTCAAAGGCTTCACTCCATTCTTATTTCAGTGGGAATGGGGTGCCAAAGTACTTTGAAAACCTGAGCCCTAGCGGCTGCCTGCTATTCTTAGTAATTCTGTCAGAAACCAAGTCTTGCAGAGCTCACAATTTCACTCTTCAGTAAAAGCCCAGTGATGAACTACTGTGTTGAATCCCTGCTTCCAAACAGCTTTGT